GAGGCCAGCCTGGTCTCCAAAGCGAGTTCCAGGAAAGGCACAGAGCTACACAGGGAAAACCTGTCTCGAAAGACCAAAAAAAAAAAAAAAAGTGAGCTCATTCATTCATTCATTCATTCACTTATGGAAGGTTATAGAAAGATGGCTTCTAACTGGGGTACACACCTGCTGGAATTTTTGTTGAAATAAAGGGTTCACTTGAGTGCGATGAAATTTGTCTTGCATCGTTAAGACATATATATTAAGCCTTACTAATGTTTGATGCATGGCCTACCACTTACACTTCCACTCAGTTCCAAATGTCAAGAGGTTTCAAGTCACCAAGTATCACATTCAGTGTGTGAGACACACCCATGGGAAGGAAAGCTCTCTGGGTGGAACTGTACAATGACTTTCTGCTTGCTTCCCGTTAGAGTCTGTTCCCATGTAAAGTCTGCCCATCTACTTGGGCCCATTGCTTTCTCTGAGTTTGTTATTTGTAACTAATCTAATGCTCATGCAATAGACAAATTTCTGCAAATGAACTGAAAACTAAAGATGATACCGTTAATGGCAGAACTGACCCTCCTACTGTGTTATATGAACACAATGTAAAAACAGTGGGAATCTGATCAGACCTTCAAGTCAGAAAAAAAAAAATCACCACAAAGACTACGTGGGAAATGTATCAACCTTTCATTGACCTTTCACCTCCTGTTTCATTCTTTCATGTTTTCATTGACCTTTCACCTCCTCCTGATTGCAATTAACCTTGGCATATTAGCTGATCACAGTAGGAAGCCATTATATTAGGATGACATCTTCCTTAAAAAGAAACATCTACAATTTTTTACAGAAGTATGTTGAGTCACTAATACTCATTCATGTGGTTCTTTTACAAAATTTCACAACTGCTGACAATATTTAGAAGTTGCTTTGTAAAATCTTAAAAGGATAAAATTTTAAAAAACCCCACATGACACTGGTTTTCCTTGCTTCAGTGTAAACTAAAACATATTCCTTAGTCAGCAGTTATTAGATGGTATTAAGAAATATGAAGACTAAAAGGGTCACATTCACAGCAATTACTTTCCTGTTCAATGTCCATGTGCTGTGCCACACAGCCGTTCCCAATGTGTCCTTTTCAAAAGTGAAATACAGAAGGAATCACGGAGGTCATACACTCAATAATAACTCAGTAATAAAATAAAAAGTTCTAGTCCCCAGATCTTGGGGTTTCTAAATCATTCCAACAAAAAGGAGCAGGTGGCCCTGGAGAAGGGGCTAATTTCCAGACTGGGCAGGAACAGTTTAAGGCACACTGAAACAGCCTGTGACCAAATCAGAAAGTGTTCAAGGACTGGGATGTGCAGTTATGAAAGCTCTACCTGTCCCAAAAGAAAGTGGAAACAGGCAGCGTGTTCACAAATCCTTCAAATGAAATGTTTCAGACCTTTTGAGCTCATGGTTCTCACAATAAAAATTCAACCTATTCCAACTAGTTTCTTCTTTAATTGGAAAACTTTTACCCAATATACTTTGGTTATGTTTTCCCTCTCCCCATCCCTCCCAGATTCTCCCCTACCTCCCCAACTCCATGTTCTTTCTCTCTTTAACGAACAAACAAAAACAAGAAACACAACAACAGAAATCAAGATATACATGGGGGGGGACGACAAAAAACAAAAAATGGCAAGATTAAAAAATGCCCAAACACAGTGGGACAAAAAAAAATCTACAAAAATACCAATGAGTTTGTTTTGTGTTTGTTTTGTGTGTTGGTCAACTACTTCTGGGCACAAGGCCTACTCTGAAGTGTGGTTAATACACCCAATGAGGCTGGGTGGTGGTGGTGCATGCCTTTAATCCCAGTACTTGGGAGGCAGAGACAGAAGGATCTCTGTGAGTTCGAAGCCAGCCTGGTCTACAAAGTAAGTTCTAGGACAGCCAGGGCTGTTACACAAGAGAAACCCAGTAAGACTCCATTGGCAATATATATATATAAAATAATTTTTCCTTTGTCAATAGGTATCAATTGCAGATAGCTTCTTGGTTAGGAGTTATTGTCCTTTAGGTCTTGAACCCAAGACAAACTGTTGATATGCCTAGCACCAGGTTTTCCCAGCATCCCTCAGTCCCTACCTGTTACTGGGTCCCCCTGGCTGGCATACCCTGTCCCCCTACACTAAATTCCTCCAGCTCAGGAACTAAGCTGAGCTACCAGCTGCTCGCTCTTATATAACCCGGCCATTTTGGCTGCACTGGCCCTTTTTTGGGCCTCTTGGCCAATGCTCCAGGTTCCCCTCCCTTCCTCTCCCCTCCTTGCTCTCCTCACATGGCTGGTTCAGTTTGCTGGTTATGTCTACTCTGGATTCTCTCTACCTCTGTCTCTGTTCTCCCTCATTATCTATAACAAAAACCTCAACCTCTTGGGAGCAGTCCTGTGCTCTTTTCATTTCCACTTTATTCATTGTCCACTTCATGCTGTCAGTATTAGGACCCCATGTGGCTTGACCATGTGCGGGCCTCCGACTTGGTGCCACAGTTTCTGAGTTCATAGTCTATCAGTATCTGGAAGACACTGTTCCTTGGAGTCATCCGTCACCTCGGACTCTTGCAATCTCCAGTCGCCTCTTTGGCATAGACTCTTGAGCCTTGAGGGGAGGGGTGTGGTGAAGACATTCCACTCGGGACTGCGCATTCCCAAGTCTCTCACTTTCTCCACACTGTCCAGCTGTTGCTCTCTGTGTTCATTATCCCAACCCAGTGGTTCTCAACCTTCCTGATGCTGCGACCCTTTAATACAGTTCCTCAGGTTGTAGTGGTGATGCCAACCATAACATTATTTTCACCACTACTTCATAACTGTAATTTTGCTCGTTATGAGTCATAATGTAAATATCTGTTTTCCCATGGTCTTAGGCAACCCCGTCAAAGGGCCGTTTGTTCCAACTAGTCTGTAAGAACTCTTGGACAGTGAGAAGTGGAAATTTTAAAGACAACCTTAAGTATGTGTCACTGGGAAGGTTTTTGAGTGAATATGATTGAGTAGCCACTACCAAAAATTTTCTTCCTTTTGGATCCACAGATCTTCTTAGGTTTATTTTTTTTTTCTAGCTATGACAACCATTGTTAAAACAAGATAATGACACTCAAACCCCAGATCGTCGAATCATGAAATAAACGAATCAGAACCCCAAGATTATTGACTCATGAAATGAAATCTAAAGTGCTTAAGAACAACTCCTTACAATCAGAGTTACTAAAATTATTGTTCACTTAAAATACATGATTTCAAGGTAGACAGATTACACCCAAGACCTTAAAAAGGAAATAGGTACAACCACTTTACATTTTTTTTTTTTTTAAAAAAAAGAGGTTCTCTGGTATTCCCAATATATTAGGGGCCCTCTGCTAACCAAGTGCTGCGATTACAAGCATGTGCCTGGTTCAATTATTTTATTTTTGCCGCTACATGGTGTTGAATGTAGGACCTCACGCAGGCTTGTCAAGCATTGTACCAGTGACCTACATCCCAGCAGCTGACACCGTCTTCTTTAAACTTCATTTTGTATATTTGTATATTTTGTATATTTGTATATTTCATAGCGTGGTCTTGAGCTATGTAGGTAAATAACCGTCTGAAAGGCGGGCTCAAACTGTTTACTGATACGCGTCGTGGATCCATAATCTGAGAGGCCGGCGCCCGGAGAACGCGTGCTCCACGCCCCAGCCTCGCTGGTGCCTTACTGGTCCCAGCAACACAGGTTCCAAACCCAAGTCAGCAACTCCTGGGCTAACAGCTCGCAGCCTCAGCACAAGAAAAGCTCTATGCATAAACAACAACAACAACAACAACAAAAAAACCCTCCAGTGGGGAACTCTACGCAAGCGCACAGGGCCGGAACTTAAGAGAGCAAGGCAGCGACTGTCCAATTCAGCCGCGCCTGCCTACTCCGCGTAGGGGGCGGGGCGTTGGCGGAGGGGCGGGGCGGGACGGAGGGGAGGGACAAGTCGGAACGGAAGGGGAGGAGCTTTCACGGAGGGAGCCTAGTGGGAAGGAAGGGCGGGGCGGAGGAAAGGGGCGGAGGCGGAGGAAAGGGGCGGGGCAGAGGGGCGGTGTTCTGGGATGGCTACCCTGCACGACGGCTCTTTTTGGCGCGCCACTTGAAGTGACAGAGAACTTTACTAGTAGGCTGACATCCCGAGAGGATGCTCGAAGCTCGCTGTCCTGGGCCCGACCCTCCGGGCGGATGGCGGGTGGGAGACCAGACAGCCGCAGAAAGGCGCTTCCCCAGCCTGGCGCAGTTAGTTTGTCCCGGCCTCGCCGAGGAGAGAGAGGAGAGTCGCCTTAACGCGCCCACGTCGGAGAGGCTAACAAAACAATAACAAGCGAGCCAGGAAAGCACCCGGCTCGGTTGTTACTCAGGAGAACGGCGACTACTCTAAGTGATAGACAGAGCGATCTTCTCATAGCGGTGTAAGGAACCCGAAGAACACAGTCCAGCATGCCCCCAGGTCTCCTGGAGGTCTGTGGGGTCGCTAGTAAGTTCCGATTCCCCTTAGAAATCGGTACACCTGGGAGGTACGGATACCCCAAGTCTCACCTGCGGATAGCACCCAGTACTGGAAACTCGGGCAAGTGCCCTGATACAGCCCGTGGTGATGGTTTTGAAGCCTTTGTTCTTGGAAAGCTTTATGTTTGTGTTTACTTAAGTGTAAAAGGGAATTCCTCCCTATTTGTCACGTGAAATGGACATTTGGGGAGGATGTACATTAGTAAATTAATTGTAGCCAGTTGTGGTGACATGCACCTGCAATCCCAGCACTGGAGAGGCTGAGGCAGGGGTTTGAGGCCAGAGGATAAGTAGTACCGGGCCACTCTGTGCTCAGTAGTTTTAATGTTTCTCAAAAGAATCGACCTTAAACTGAACCAGTTACTAAAGCATAATTTATAGGAGCATTTATTGGACTCTTCACTACCCTTGTTACAAAGTGTTTGAAAGGAATAAACTAAACCTTCAGCGCTGCCATTCCACAGAGCAGGAAACTGAGGCACTGAGAGATTAAGAGCCTTGCCTGACACCATGCACCAGTTTCTGACTGAACAGAAAACCTCACTTGAGAGTCTGTCCTGAGAGCCTTGTGGCTTAACTACACCAGGCGTAGGTGTGTGTGTGTGTGTGTGTGTGTGTGTGTGTGTGTGTGTGTGTGTGCGCGCTCATGAAATGGGAGGTCAGGGGTCAATGTCAGGTGTCTTTCTCTGGGGCTGTCCACCTTATTTGGATAGGGTCTCTGACTGAAAATGGAGCTAGATACTAATGTATTGGCTGCTCGTCAAGCACCAAGGACCCTCCTGCTTCCATCTGCTCAGCACGGTGTGCACGGACCCGTCCAGCTAGAGGCCCCAACTCAGGTCCGCAGGCTTGTTCCGCCCGCACTTTTACCAACTGAGACATCTTCCTGGACTCCGTGGTTGTTTGGGATTTTAAGACAGGATCTCACTATGTAGCCCAGGCTGGCTTTGGACTTGACCCTCTTGCCCCTGCTACTTGAGTGCTGGGATTACTGGCATGTGCTGCCACCCCAAGCTTGTTTTGTTGTTTTGAGGCAGGTCTCACACTATAGCCCTGGCAGAACTGGAGCTCCCAGAGATCAACCTGCCTCTGCCTCTGGTGTTCTGGGATTAAAAGCGTGCACCACCACACCCAACCAGAGCTGTTTTCTTAAAGAAAAACATTTCAAATAAAATAGTTGACTATCCATTTACATGTTAAAGGCCTCCTTCTCAGTTCTATTTCTGTTAATACTCTTTTCCCCTAAAGGGTAACAATATTGAAAAGTAAATGAATTGTTACACTAAACTTGAAATTGTAATGTTGGTCCTTAGTCCAAAACTCAAATAATAAAATTAAATTAAATCATGCTTTGTATCCTAGTAAGGGCCAGTTAGGACTTTAGACCAAGAAAATTGTCCAACCTGCTAATGAAATTTTAGTGTATAAATGCATGGGTGTATGTCTTTATATTTACATCAGACTTCAGAAAATAGTGCACCCTACTGTCCATCAAGATAAACATCAAAGGTTGGAAGCAACTGAAATTATAAATGAATGCTCCTATATAAATTTCACATGCTGGACCAGCAAGATGGCTAAGCAGGAAAAAGCACCTGCCCCCAAGCCTGAGGACCTGAGTTCAATCCCCAACCCACATGGTAGAAAGAGAAAATCAACTCCAGCCAGTTGTCTTCTGACTTCCACATGCTCCATCTAGCGTGAATGTGCCCACAGATAGACAGGCACATACACAAATTAAGAAATGCTATGTTGCATGCTGAGGTGGGAATAAACTGTTGTGACTGACACTGTAAAATCTGAAAACTAAATCCAATTAACTCATTTCCAAATCTCCATTTGTTGGGGTGCACCGTATAGTGCTAGTTAGTTGAAGAAGGCACTCCAAGATGAATTTTTTTAAAGATTTATTTATTTATTTATGTATACAGAAGAGGGCACCAGATCTCATTACAGATGGTTGTCAGCCACCATGTGGGTACTGAGAATTGAACTTAGGACCTCTAGAAGAACAGTTAGTACTCTTAACCTCTGAGTCATCTCTTCCGCTCCCGTCTAAGATGAAATTTAAGTCCAACCTCTGATGGACTGAACCCAGAACAGCCATACAAAGGCCTATTTATTGATTGTTACACAAAGTGTTTGCTCATACCAAGGTCCCTAATCTAATTTAAATGTCTTACTAAAGGAGAGCATCACATGCCCTCATGACCGTAGTCCTTTATTATGTATCATTTGCAGTACACAATAATACAAGAACCTCAGGTGTGCCTGCGGCCTCTTGTGACCAAAGGCATAAGATGGCTACAATGCCCCTTCAGCAAAACAGTCACTGTTTTCCACAAGGATTCTTCAGCATCAAAGTACTTCTGAAAAACAGCTGTTCTAATAGCTACCCCAGAATCAGTGACTCTGCTAAATTCCTTCAACATCCATTCACTTATGAGTTGTTGGTCACCCAAGCAACAAAATGCTCCATCATCAGGAGCTCCTTTAGCTATCCATAGGAAGATTGCCTCCCTGAAGCTGTCCCTGGCTGTACCTCATCAGATCTCCACTTCCTCTCTGGCTCACAATCTTTTTAATTAAAATACTATGAACAGGGGTCTAGAGAGATGACTCAGCAGTTTAGAACATTGGCTACTCTTTTAGAGAACCCAGGTTCAGTTCCCAGCACCCAGGTAGTGGCATACAAACATGTGTAACTCCAGTTCTAGGTAGACCCGCCGCCCTTTTCTGGCCAGACATGGACATGGTGTACATGCAGGTAAAGTACTCATACCTGAACAGAATACTGTAACTACTACAAATGCTATTGGATCTTTTGTTGATCTTGTAGGCCCAGTTACTGCCCTTTCTGCACAGAACCTTGTAAATTCCAACAAATGTGATGGGGATCAAGTGAAGGGGATACGGGTAACGGGATAGATTCATTTAGGGATGAAGTTCAAAGGCTCTGGCGGGGTACTGGAAATGTCGTTCCTAGCATACACAAAACCATGGGTTCAATTCCCCAACACTAAGAAAGTGATAACAGTGTAGGGAGACTTGATGGATACCCCCTAACAGCTAAAAAGAAAGAAGAATCGGAAAATGTCTTCTCAGAGATCTCCTCACGTAATCTAACTGTAATCTATAAACTTCTGGAGTAGAAGTATGTCGTGATATTGTTGTACCCAGAGTCCCCCAAAGACCACTAAGAGACCAAATCCGATGCAAAAGCAGAGTCTTTTTACTATTGTGAGTTAACCCAGGCCTCTCTGTCCATCTGACACAGCAGCAAAGCAGGAGAGACCCCGAGTAGCAATGGTGCAGGGTTTTGGGGGCGGGGGTGAAGCAAGGGGTTGGGGGTCTACAGACTACATAGGAACAGACTCAGGATTGATGTACCTCCCATCCGGAGGTGCTGTCCTTCGTTAGCTTGCAGCTGCAAGAAAACTGTTACCTCTTCCAGCGGTTGCTGTGGTTGCTACATTTTTTCTTTATCATGAGCCCACTAGCTGGAACTTTTAATTGCCTTCTTCCACCATATGAGGACATTTTTTAAAAAAGGATTTTTAAAAGTGTCTTTTTAAGGCTTCTAGAAATATGACTGGAGTAGGCAGCATGCGTCAGTGTCTCCACCTAGACAGCACTTCTTGCACTGCTATTTAAACGGTTTTAGAACTCTCTGGAGTGTGCCAAAGTTGAAGATGCATCAGTCTCAGACTAAAGGACTTTAAATCGTTGGCCCAAAAGAGTGACTCTGCTTTGAAGGAGAATGAAATACTTAATTCTGAAACACATGAGTAGCCAAAAGCCAGGTATACATATTCAAGGACTACATGGTTTTGGTTTTTGTTTGTTTTCTGTATCCACAGTGCAAACAAGTTCTAGAACATTCAGTAAATAGGAGGGTGGGAAAGGGGGGCATTACATAGACAAGTTAGGGAGTGAGGGGCTCTAGCCACCAGAATGAAATGATACCTTACTTCGTTCTTAGAAGATTGTCTACCTCAGAGGTCTACTCTTGTACCTACTTGTCCTGCAAGTGTTAGGTCAGGAATGACGCTTGTTTCTGAAGGTTCTGGAACAGCCCTTATCTCAACCTTCAAGTGCATGAGGCGGCAGACAGGCCTGTGCGTTAACTCCTTTTGGAGGAAGATGCTGTCTAAATCTGGTCCTGTGGGGGGGGGGCATACCACCCCCACTTTTTCCAAGGGTACTCTCGAGCAGGAGCAGCAGGAAATATTAGATAGAAGTATAGAGGAGAGAGAAACAGAAAATATAGGATAGCCTCGGGAGGGCTTGGATCCTAATCCATCAGACCAGAACTTTATTCCAATATAAATAGCTCTATTTATAACAATGCCAAGGGGAGGGGCAAAGGATCTCCCCCTTGCTAGTTACAGCCAAGTGTAGCCCCTTCCAAACACCTGGCACTCAGGCCTGGTGATCAAATCATCCTCTTATGCATTCCTGCTGGGTACAGCCACTAGGAAGCCTAGATGGGCTCCAACATGGTCCTTCTTAGAGTGGTCTGTTATCAAATAGTTTCTTTGCAAGTTTCTAATTCACACAAGTAGGACTATAAGAGATAAGGCATTATGTATTAATAAAGGTTCAATATAGAAAGATATAGTAATTATAAAGGTCCACACACCTCATGTTTAAATTGTGTGCAAAAATCTCTCCATCCTTCCTTGGGTGGAGGTCTTCCTTTGTTTGGGATATCCAAATAACTAGTGAAGTAGTACAAAGACTGTATCTAAGGAATGTAGCAGGAATCTTAAAAGTTCTTATTAATAAAATCAAACCT